CCTCTGGGGTGGGGCAGAGGGGCTGTTTATACAGGGACCCCTGGCCTAGTAGTGACTGCCACAGGAGTGAGTCCCCACCCTGCTCCCAGCAGCCCACCACCCCCTGCCGACCCCCCGCCCCACTCCCCACAGCCCAGCGCCCCCCACTGACCCCCTGCCCCACTCCCTGCAGCCCAGTGCCCCCTGCTGACCCCTCGCCCCGCTCCCCGCAGCCGGGGTCAGAGTGACCAGGCAGCTCCTGGCTGGGACTGGTTGAACCAGGATCGAATTCCCAGGAGCCGGACCCGGGGAGAACAATGGAGGGAAACGGGAGCCCAGCCCAGCCTGGGGGGAAACCGACCTGGCCCAGAGCGACCCACTGGTCACAGAGACAGACTCTGGGGAGGGGGGGGGGTGAGCCAGGACGCCTGGGTTCTTGCCTGGCACTGGGAGGGGAGTGGGGTCTAGTGGTTGGGGCGGGGGTCCAGGACTCCTAGGTTCTCTCCTCAGTTCCCTGCCTGGCCCAGTGCGCCTCCCTATCCCATCTTTGCTTTGGTGGGCCCAGGGAGGGAGGCCCAGTTCTGCTCCGCTCCCCATCCCCGGGCCTGAGCCTGGCCTGTATTAACCTTTTCACTTCCCCACCCCCCCGCCCCGGTTTGCTGCAGATGGCCCCCCCAGGTGGCCATTAACCCCATAGCCAGGACTCCTGGGTTCTCTCCCAGCTCTGATATCGGAGCAGGGTGGAGTCTAGTGGTTTTGGAGCAGAGGGTGGGGCTGGGAGCCAGGACGCCTGGGTTCTCTGGCTGGCTCTGGGAGGGGAGTGGGGTCTAGCGGGCAAGAGCAGTGGGGGCTGGGTGTCAGGACGCCTGGGTTCTACACTGTTGTCTTGCAGAGGGACTGCTTCAGCTCAGTCTGTGACACCTAAGAGCCGGGTGGGGGAAGGAGCCAGAACGGGCTCGGTGGCAAAGGTGGCCGCAGGGCGGGTCTGGCTGGCTCGGGAGTTTACATCCAGGTGTGGCAGGTTCAAGGCTACGTCAGCTGGAGCTGACCTGGGTGAGGAGCCAGGGTGTGTTTGTTCTGGGGGCCTGGGCACAGTTTTAGCAACACCTTTGGACAGGGAGCCTACTCACTGTGGTGGCAGGGAGCCAGGACTCCTGGTTTGTCTCCCAGCGCTGGCAGGGGAATGGGGTCTAGTGGTTAGAGCAGGAAGGGGCTGGGAGCCAGGACTCCTGGGTTCTCTCCCTGGCTCTGGAAGGGGAGTGGGGTCTAGTGGTTAGAGCAGGAGGCAGCTGGGAGCCAGGACTCCTGGGTTCTCTCCCTGGCTCTGGAAGGGGAGTGGGGTCTAGTGGTTAGAGCAGGAGGCAGCTGGGAGCCAGGACACCTGGGTTCTCTCCCTGGCTCTGGAAGGGGAGTGGGTCTCGTGGTTAGAGCAGGGGAGCTGGGAGCCAGGACTCCGGGGTTCTCTCCCGGCTCTAGGAGGGGAACAGATGGGAGCCAGGGCTCCTGGGTGTGACGGTGGCCAACCAGGTGCCAGCTTTTCCCAAGGCTTTAGGCCTCAGTTGAGCACTGACCCATTCACTGCTCGAAACCCGGCTGTTTCCCCTGGGCCTTGGCCCGGTTAAGGTGGGTCCTGGACTTATCCCAGCGCGTTTAGACTCTACAAAATGCCCGTCTCCCCTGCTGGCCCGGGGCTACCTCTGTGTCCGCTCCCGCCCTGGGTTCTGAAACCGGCCTGCCGGGGAGCGAACGTCACCTGCCCACCCGTGAATTCACACGACCCAGCGGCTGCACGCCGGTACCCCGCCACACCCAGGCCCAGGCTACGTGCAAGCGGGCTCGGCCCCCGGGCTGCAATTTGGGAAGAAAGCCGTAAAAGCCGAGGGCCCGAAACCGGCCGATCCTTCGCTCGCTGCTCTTCGGACTCTCGCGGGAGCCAGACGCGAACCCCCCCGAGTCCCCCTGACGGACGCTCAGCGCTGCCCCCTTGCTGCGAGACTGTCCCCTTTGGGAACCACGGACGTAGGCAGTGGGGTGGACACGTCGCCGGCTTGAAGCAGCCAATAACTCCTTTCCTTGTCCTCCTCGTTACATCCGCAGGGAGTTTGCGAGCGGCCGGGCTGCCCGCGCTGGCTTCGCGTCAAACCGCCCCGGGCTCAGGGCCTGATCTCTTGGGACAGGGAGCAACCTGAATATTTTATGCTGGTTGGGGCAAGTGACTGTGGATCACTTAGTCCAGCTTGCCCAGGTGGCCAGCCAGGCCGGAGTATCCCTGGGGATGGCTGGGTCCTTCGTAGTTAATTCGCCCTTGGTATTGGGTGGGGGGAGTCGAAACCTAAGAGACACCCCTGGGTTTGCGGGTCTCTGCCCCACTTCTTGGCCCTGGCCGGCCTGAGCCTCTTGGTGCCCGGCCTCCCTCGCTTCAGACTCAAGTCTGGAACCACTCGATGTTCATTCCTTTCAGCGCCGGTTTCTCCACAGCCCGGCAGGCCAAGGGGGGACATTTCCTTAGCGGAGCATGTAAACTCGCCGGGGCTGGGGCAGGCTCCGTGTCCTGTGTTTGGTCAGTGCCCAGCACGATCCGGGAGCAAGACCAGGACAGTTGTATCACACCGAACAACATCCAGCTGGCGGGGAGCTACTGCCCTACTCCACTTACAATAATCAGGGGTATGGAAGGGCGTCCGTATGAGGAGAGATTGGTAAGACGGGGACTTTTCAGCTTGGAAAAGAGATGCCTCAGGGGGGATACGACAGAGGTCTATCATAATGTGCGTGTAGAAAGTAAATCAGGGTGTGTTTTTTACTCCTCATAACACAAGAACTAGGGGTCACCCAATGAAATTAACAGGCAGCAGGTTTAAAACAAACAAAAGGAAGTTTCTTCACACAACGCACAGTCAACCTGTGGAACTCCTCGCTGGAAGACATTGCAAAGGCCAAGACTATAACAGGGTTCAAAAAAGCACTAGATAAGTTCATGGAGGATGGGTCCATCGATGGCTATTAGCCAGGCTGGGCAGGGATGGTGTCCGGAGCCTCTGTTTGCCAGAAGCTGGGAATGGATGACGGGATGGATCATGTGATGATTCCCTGTCCTGTTTGTTCCTGTGGGGCACCTGGCATTGGCCACTGTCGGCAGACAGGATACCGGGCTGGATGGACCTTTGATCTGACTCACTCTGGCCATTCCCATGTGCACCTATGAAGTGCTGGGTGCAGAGGAAAGCCGCGAAATTCCAGGGCTGCAGAGGGCACCTGCAGGAGGCAAAGGGTTTAGTTGACCCAAGAGGCGATTTTATACCATGTGTAAACACTTGGGGGGGGGGTGGGGAGGAATATCCCGGCTCCAAGGGCTCTTCCACCTCGCCGTGAAAAGCAGGGCCCGGCCCTGGCCCAATTCCAAGTCAGGCACCGGTTTTGCGTAGGGCCTGGCTGCCCCGCTGGGGGACTCAGAGCCAGACCAGGGGCCTGCCCTGGGGGGAGAGACATTTGTCAGACTTGCCTGCTGCTGCGAGAAGTTGCTGTGATGCGTTTATGAGCCTGCCCCGTGCCTCAGTTTCCCTCTCGGCTTTGCATGGTGGTTAATGCAGCGGTGGAAAGGCAGCCAGCCAGCACACAAGTGGGGCGTGTGCGTGACGCCTGGGAGCAACAAAGAATGAGGTGGCACCCCTACAACCTGACCAAGTGGAGCCGCCGGGGGGAGGAAAGGGGTAAAGGCCCAGCCCCTGGGGAGCCATGAGAAATTTCAGGGGGCCATATGGGGGCGTAACAGTCCTAGAAACGTCAGGCCAGGAGGGAGCACGATGGGGGGGATGCGCCAAGGCAGGGCCCCGTAAACCCGTATCCTCCCGACAGGCGCGGGTCCAACCGGTTCTTAAAACCCTCCAGCGCCGGGGATGCCAGGCCGGCTGGGCCAGAACGTCGGTCCGAATATCGCCCTGGCGGCAAACTCCTGCTTCCTCCTTCTCCGCCCTCGGCTGGACGCGGGGAACAACTGTCCTTCTTCTGCCAACCTGAGAGCCCCGCCGGCCGTTCCCACCTCCACCCCTCAGCCTGCACCAGCTCCGGGCCCGACTCTTTCAACCGGTCGGCCGAGCGCGGCTCGGGGGCGCGTCGGTTTTTCCGGGGAGACACCAGCAGCCGTCACTTGCACCAGCGAAAGAATACTGCCAAGGGGTCGGGGACATTTCCCGAGAGGCAGAGATCTGGCTTTGAATCGTTACAGAGCTTACAGCCTCTCCCCCCTCCCCCCCCATTCACACACCCCCCCGGACTCCTGGGTTCTCTCCCCAGACCTGGCCGGAGAGTGGGGTTTAGTGGTTAGAGCAGGGCCTGGGAGCCAGGACCCCAGGGTTCTTTCCCCAGATCTGGGAGAGGAGTGGGGTCTAGTGATTAGAGCAGGGGGGCTGGGAGCCAGGACTCCTGGGTTCTCTCCCTGGCTTGGGGGAGTGGGGACTGGTAGATTAAGATGGGGTGGGGACCAGGATGGCCTCTGGCATGTGGCTACGTCCGTCTCTTAGCCCAGCAGTGCCTGCCGCTCCAGTGCCCACGGGCACTCCTCCATGCCCCTGCGGGTCCTTGGGGGGCACGCTCGGAGCAGCCCCACGCCAATCCCCGCTGTGTCCCCCATAACTTCGAAGCGGTGGGCGCTGTGGAACAGACTCATTTCAAAGGCCCCAGTGTCAGACCCCCAAACTGGGGTAAAGAAGCAGCCTGATCTGAGAGACTCATTGGGCTTGTGCTAGTCCCCCGCATGGAAGCCCCCCGACTGGGCCCAGAGACCCTTTCAGGGTCTGTTATCTCTGGGGTGCTTTCGCCCTGAATAACCAGGCGGGGCCACGGGCAAGCCGGCTGGGCCCGCGTGGCCCCGGCTGCGGAAACCCGCCCACCCCAGCAGTCTCGGAAGGAAGCCACAGAGGGGCGCAGCGCCCCCGGGACCTGCATCACCCCATTATTCACACATCCAGCCCCCGCCCCGGTTAACCGAGCCCCTTAAAAAAACACGCCAGCAGGGAGCGGGGCGGGCTTTAAAATTTTTTTTTTCTTTTTTTTTTTACGGTTTCATTTTTGTAAGATTTTTTTTTCTATCCCTGTGCTTTAAAGATCTGCAGCCGGGCTGCTAAAATAAACAAATACAATATATAGAATTTCCTTTGCCGTATTGCACACGTCGTATCTTTCGGGGAGGGGGGGAGGGCGCCGTATAGAAAATACTTTCCTTTATATACAGATATGTTCACAGGGGTGGCGTGGGCGGGGGGAGAGCGGTTGCCTGGCATATAAATGGGGGGGGACCCCTCTGCAAACTTCATGGGGATTTTCATTTTGCTGAGGGATGGGGCGGGGGGGGAGATGGTTGCACAGCCTGGAAAATTTGTGGATGCCGGCTGAATCTGGGGGCGTGTTTTTTGCTGAGGGGGGAAATCAGTTGCATGGCACAGAATTTAGGGGTCCCCCCGGTATTGGGGGGGATTTTGAACTGAGGGAGAGGGTAATGGCATGGAAATTTGAGGTTCCCCTACAAATTTCAGGGGGACATTTCAGCAAGGAGGCGTGGTATGGCACAGAAAACTGTGTGTGTGGGGGGGACATTTTCCAGGAGACCATGCTCTGGGGCCAAACGGGGACAAAGCTGTTTTGCATGGCAGGTTTTAAAGGGAGTCTGAACCCTGCTTTTTTTGCACTTGCATCTGTCCAAACCACCCCCCACCCCCTTTTCAAGGGGTGGACAAGCAGCGTTTGGGGCCCATTAAAGAAGGGAGCAGAAAACTGGGATCTGACCCCCCCCCCCCACATACACACGGCACATTTTGGGGGGGGGCTGAAGCAGCGCCTTGGTTCTGAGATCCAGGCCCCCCCCCACACACACACTTGGGGGGGCAGCAGATCTGCAATGCCCTTTGTCTTACCTGAACCCCATAATCCTGGGGGCACCCCCAGCTGGGTTTGCGATAGACAGGAGTTTGGCAAAGCCAGGAACCCCCATTCATTCCCTATGTGTCCAGGGGGGACATTGGGGAGCACCCCCCGACTTTGGTCATCTAATTATTGGGTGCCTGCTCCCCCAAATCTCCAATGGAAGAAGCTCTTAGGAGGAAGAATTGGGAGGCACCCCCATTCCCCGCCATCCACGTTTTGGCCCAGATACTGCAAGGGGGAAGGGGGGCAGGGACTACAAAGTCCCGCCCCCTTTTAACACCAAGATTCCGAGGGGGTGGAGCCAAGGCAGGAATGCAGGTCAGTACAGCAGATGGGCCCCCCCTCCTTTGGACCCAAGTAGCGCACACTGGAGATGCCCCAATGGGGCTGTTTATTCAGGGGTCACCCTGAATCCCCCTGCTGGGTTCCTCTGGGGGCTGACCCTATAGTAGCCCTCCCCGGAACCCCCCATTTGTCCCCAAGGGCACCCCAATACTGGCATAGCCCCCCCTTCCCGCTGCCCCCCACCCTCCCGTGTGCCAGCCCCCCCACTTACTGGCACCTGGGGGGGCATGGCACAGTGCGCCCATGGGGCAGGCAGGTGAGAGATCCTTGGCAGCTCCTTGGCATCCATGGGGGGGGCACCGTGGGGCAGAATCAAAGCTGCCGGTTGGCAAGGGAGTTAATGTTCTGGGATTTGTTTAGCTGGGGTGGGGGGGAATTGAAGGGACCTTAAAAAGTGGGGGTGGGGGTCTTGCAGTACCCCCATCTCCGCTAACATCCCCACGATCAAATGGGGGGGGCATCATTTTGGCTTCTAACTGGAGATTACTGGGGTTAGGACTAGGGGAGGGGGGCAGGCAGGAATCTGCCCCCCTCCCCGCCCCCAGCTACTGACAACGAGCATCACTTAACGAGTAGCAGGAATTGTAAAGAGCCACAAATAATAAATATTTGTCCCAGGGCTGGAGGCTGGATTTTGTTGTTGGGTTTTTTGGGGGTGGGGGTGTGTGTGTTGGTCTGATTATCAGGGGCTCAGACACCCCTCCACCAGTGGAAAGATTTTTGGGGGAGATCAGCGAGGCCCCTGTTTTGAGGGGGAGGCCTAAGGGGTGTGGTCCTGCTGTGGGGGGGAAGGGGCTTATTCTGGTCCATAGACTCTCCCCTCGCATGGCACCTTGGCGGGGGAGCTGGTCTGGAGTGTGGGGGGGCTCCCTGACGGTTGGAAGGGGCTGGCCCGGAAAGCGGGGCGACTCCCTGCCCTGGGGGCATCACTTGGAGAGTTTGCTGATGACCCGGATCAAAGCCGCGTTCTCGTCTTTCAGGCGCTGGTTATCGGCCTTCAGGTCCGAGAGAGCCTGGGGGAGAGGAAGGGGGGTTAGCATCTGATCAGCCCCCCAGGCCCATCTGCTCCTTTCCCTTCCCCCAGATCAGCCCCGGTATCCCGTCTTCTCCTTTCCCTTCCCCTGGATAAGCCCCCCAGGCCCATCTGCCCCGGTATCCCGTCTTCTCCTTTCCCTTCCCCTGGATAAGCCCCCCAGGCCCATCTGCCCCGGTATCCCGTCTGCTCCTTTCCCTTCCCCCAGATCAGCCCCCCAGGCCCGTCTGCTCCTTTCCCTTCCCCCAGATCAACCCCACGGGCTCATCTGCCCCGGTGTCCCGCCTCCCCCCCTCGCCGCACACCGGGGCCCATCCAGTCAGGTGCTGAGCCGATTACCTTCAGCTCCTCCTCCAGCTCCGCTGCCTTCCGCTCCAAGGCCCGGCGCTCCTGGGGGGCCGGAGAGAGGGGGTGAGTGCATGGAGGTAACAGCCTCAGCTGCGGCTGAGGCAGGGCACCTCACCCCCCGAGGCTCGGAGGGTGGACTCCTCACCGGGAGCAGAGTGAAGACCTGAGCTGGGGTGGGGGTGGGGATGGGGGGCAGCATCCTGGGGGCACGGTGCCTCCCACAGCAGGGCAGGTACTTACAAATCTCTCCAGCTCCAGCCGTGCTGGCCGCTCGGCAAAGCGCTCCTGTCTCTGCCAACGAGACCAAGCACAGGGTGTGAGACGGCGCCCTCTGGAGGGAAACGCCGCATGCCCAATTGCCCCACCCCCGCCCCAGCCAGTCCCCTGCCCCAGGGCCAGATCCAGGTGCCTGCTATACCGAGGATCCACCTTAAATTCCTCTCCCCCCCCCCCCCCCCAATAACTGGCCAAACGGCTGGTGACTCAGAGCAAAAGCAGCTGGCTGGAGAGGGACCAGCCCAGCCCAGCGCCCTGGGTCAATATTTGCTCAGCTTCTCCGGGCAGCGGGTGTAACTGCAGGGGGCTGCCAGCAGGGGGAGCTGTGTGGGGGCCATGAGACATTGGACACTGATGCCCAGCTCCCCACCCCATCTCTCCATGGCAACCCAGCGCCCCCTAGCGCCACCCTGGGGCCAGCCCTGCCTGCCGGGGGGGTGGGTGGGGGGAGTGCCCCCTAGTGCTGCCCCGGGGCCAGCCCTGCCTGCCGGGGGAGGGGGGGAGAGCGCCCCCTAGCGCCGCCCCGGAGCCAGCCCTGCCTGCCAGGCCCAGAGGAGGGGGGGGAGAACGCCCCCCGCTGAGCTCACCAGGGTTTTCCATCCAGGTCTCTCCTCCCAGCCTGACTTTGCCCCCCCCCCCCCCCCCCCGGACCGGGGGCAGTCTGTCTGGGTGGAAAGAGACGCCCCCACGTTGCCTGGAACTTCCTCGTCCCCCACAATGCCCTGGGACACAAGGCTGCCGCCCTCCTGTCGCTAGCTATCCCAGAATCCTTTGCAGTGCCAGGCTGCGAGGTCACCCCTTGCAGTGGGCCCTTCCCTCCCCAGCAGGCGGTGGGGCAGAGGGGCTGGGAGCTCCCCCCCGGTGCCCACAGTGTTACCCCAGCCCTGGCGCCCCGCCCCTCTCACCTGGGTCACCCGCTCCAGCTCCAGCTTGATCTGCGTCAACTTCAGCTGCGACTCCTGCAGCTGCTCCTGCAGCTTCTCGTTTTCCACCTGGAGATCTTCATAGAGCTGGGAGGGGTGGGGGGGGGAAGAGCACAGAGCTGAGCACAGAACCCAGGAGTCCTGGCTCCCAGCCCTCCCCCCTGCTCTAACCACTAGACCCCCCTCTACTCCCCCCCCAGATAAAGAGAGAACCCAGGAGTCCTGGCTCCCTCCCCGGCCCCGCTCTAACCACCAGACCCCACTCCCCTCTCAGAGCCAGGGACAGAACCCAGAAGTCCTGGCTCTCTGCCCCTGCCTTAACCACTAGACCCCACACCCCTCCCAGAGCAGGGGAGAGAACCCAGGAGTCCTGCCCCCCGCCCCCATCCCACTCTAACCACTAGCCATCCCAGCACTTGGGTGAAGGCGTGGTTTGGAGGGGCAGAAGCCCCAGCACGAGGGGGTGGGGTTCAGGGTGCTGGGAGGTTCGGCCCCTGCCCCACCTTTTTGTATTCACGCTCGTCCCCGGCGCTGCCCATGCTGCTGAGCCTGGCGCAGCCGTACGCATCCGTCCGGTGGGGCAGGAGGCTGTTCAAGTGGTCGGACGTGCTGGTGAGACAGACAGACAGACACCACCCTGTTATTGCGGGAATCCCCACCTCTGCACCCTCCCAGGTCCTCGCCTGGCACCGCGATGCAGCCATGGGGTGGGATGTTTGAAACACACCTGTTCTATAGCGCCTCCTGCTGAGCTCTCTGCCCCGCTCCCTGCAGCCCAGCGCCCCCTAGGATATGGGGGGGGAGAGCGCCCCCTGCTGAGCCCCTGCCGCTCAGCAGCCCCTCGTGCCGCCCTGGGGCATTGGGGCCAGCCCTGCCTGCCAGGGGAGAGTGTGCCCCCCCCGTGCCGCAGAGGTCTCCCTTCCAGGGCTGAACCCCCTCACCCCCAATTAGTATCTCTCAGGACCCCGTGGCAATGCTGGGGCCCGCTGGTACCTGGATCCCCCAGAGCCCCTGGCCGGAAGGTATCTGGATCCCGGGGTGCTGTCGTTCAGCTGCTCCGGCTCCTCCGGCTCGTCGCCCTAGAGAGAGACCGGGGGGGGGGGGGCGGGTTTAACAGACGCACCCCGGGAAGCAATGCCCCCGCCCCTCCGGATCCTGCTGGACCAGCTATGAGCCCCCCATAACCACCTACATGTAATCCCAGCCCCCCTCCTCCCCCCACAATTCCCCCCCCCAGAGAGTCCCAGCCCCAACATCCTTCCCCTCACTCCACTGCCCCCCCCGTGGAATTCCAGCCCCCCTCCTCGCTCTGTTATTACCCCCTAGTGAGGCCATACCCGGATCTCCCCACCCCCACCAGTAAAGTGGCCCAGCTGCCCTGCCCGCCCGGAGCCTGGCCCCCTCCGCTCACCTCTGCGTTCTGCAGCATGCCCGTGGAGCGTCGTTCCCGCCGGCCTTTCCGGCGGTCCCGCACGGCCAGCCGGTTCCGCAGCTCGGCCTCCGCCTCGGAGCTCAGCCCCGGCCCCTCGGGCTCCGGCGCTGCGGCAAAGATGGGGCGGGTGAGGGGCAGGGACCGGCGCCCCCCCCCCGACCCCCGCGGCACCCGCCTCAGCCTCTTTGCCGGTTTGTTAATTTCACCCGGCAACAGGCGACCCGGGAGCGGAACAAGCCACAAGGGGTTAATTCAGCTGCTGCATGGGATGTCTAGCCAGAGCCGGGATGGAACCCAGGAGTCCTGGCTCCCAGCACCCCCCGCTCTAACCACTAGACCCCACTCCCCTCCCAAAGCCAGGGAGGGAACCCAGGAGTCCTGGCTCCGAGCCCCGCCCCCCGCCGCTGCACACCAGAGCACACAAGGGGTAGAACATGTTGCTGCGCTGCCCTCTGCTGGCCACCTCCTGGGACTGCAGGCAGGTGCTGGCTGGAGGATCTATGAGGGGCAGTAGCATGAATCTGCCCCCACATTTCCCGGAGGCTGGGCTGGACCCCAGAGGACAGAACCCTCCCCTCCCCCCGGCCCCACCCACAGAGCAGGCTGCCTGGCTACTGAGGCAGGATCCCAAGGGGACGAGACGGGGTGTGGGGGTGTCAGCACCAGAGGCTGGGGGGCCCAGCAGGGGGTCAGCCTCACCTCTCCGTGCCTGAGAGTTCACCACGATGGGACTGACAGGGTACACCGAGGAGCCCTCAGGGTTGGCTGCGCGGCATTGCCTGACCGAGTCCTACGGAGGGGGGATAATGACCCATGGACGTGGGGTGTCTGCTGGACAAGGCCCAGGGGCGGGGAGGGGGCGCGAGTTCGGTGGGGGTGGGGAAGACAGACTGACAACCCCCCTCCTGGGTAACAGACTCAGAAAGCTGGGATCCCCCCAGATCAGACCCACAGGCCCGTATACCCCAGTATCCCGCCTCCTCTGGACCAGACCCACAGGCCCATCTACCCCGGTATCCCGCCTCCCCCAGACCAGACCCATCTACCCCGGTATCCCGCCTCCCCGGGACGAGACCCCCGGGCCCTACTACCCCACCCTCTCCCTGCCCCCTGCCCCCCTGTCAATGAGACCCCCGGGCCCATGAACTCACTGAAGCCCTTCACACAAACCCAGCTCCACTACCCGACTGCAGCGCCTGGAGGCAGGGAGTCCTGCAGGTTAACAACCCAGCTGCTGCTTGGCCCCTGCCCTCACCGTGGTATCCAGCGGCTGCTCCCCTTCTCGGCCCTGCTTCTCGTCCTCCCCGATTCGCTGCTCGGTGGCCCTGGCGTCCCCGGATCGGCCAATGGTCTTCTCGGCCTCCTTCAAGTCTGTGAGGGTGACACCCTGGGAGGGGAGCAGGTGGGTCAAGGAGGGGCGTGACCAGGCCTGGCACCCCTGGGGGGAGCAGCATCGCTGGCCAGGGCGGCAGTAACCCCCGCAGGAAGGGAAATGAGCTACAGCACCCCCAGGAGGTGGAGTACAGTCACTGCACCCACAACACACGGGGGAAGGGACTGGCCCAAAGTCAGCCACAGAGCTGGGAAAAGAACCCAAGAGTCCAGGCTCCCAGCCCCCGTGCGGCTCCAACCCACTTGATCCCCCCTCCCCTCCCAGAGCCGGGGAGAGAACCCAGGAGTCCTGGCTCCCAGCCCCCGTGCTCTAACTACTTGGTGGAAGTACCTGGGTGGATCGCCGGGACTGCCTCATGAGACGTGACCGGGCTTTGCGCTGTGATTCTGACTCCTCATCCCTCACGGGGGTCTGATATGATCTGGTTGGGGGGGGGGGGGGAAGGGGGCAGTTAGTGAGACCGGCAGGACCAGGGTCCCCTCGCCCAACGTTGGGACACAGCCCCCCTTTGGGGTTGGGCGTGGGAGCTGGGTATACAGGGACCCAGAGCCCAGATGCGGCCCCTCTGGGCCGGGGCAGCAATTTCACAGCAACAGCAGTTGTCGAGCCTGGTCTCTCCCAACCACCCTCGTGGCCCCCCAGCACTAGTCGCGCTCACAGCCAAGGTAGGACCCAGGAGTCCTGGCTCAGTGGGGTGTTACAGGAGAGGTTTACCCCTGCAGACACCATGCTAGTACCCCCTGAAGGTAGAGCTCCATCACCCCCACGCCCCTCTGGCTGCCCCCTACCTTCGGCGGTCGCGGGGGTCTGTGCTGGAAGTGGGGAGCTGGTTGGGGGCAGGACCCACATCGATTTTCATCTGCAGGCCATCTTCCAAGCTCCTACAGTGAGGTCACAAGAAGAGGGAGTGTCGGACAGAGTATGCTGACACACCGCAACTCTGGTAAACCCCACTCCCCTCCCGGAGCCAGGGCGAGAACCCAGGAGTCCTGGCTCCCAGCCCCCCTGCTCTAACCACTAGACCCCACTCCCCTCCCAGAGATGGGGGGAGAACCCAGGAGTCCTGGCTCCCCGCCCCCAACCACTAGACCCCCCCTCCCCTCCCAGAGCCGGGGCTGCGAACCCAGGAGTCCTGCTTTCCAGGGCCCCCTGCTCTAACCACTAGACCCCACTCCCCTCCCAAAGCCGGGGCTGAGAACCCAGGAGTCCTGCTTTCCAGGGCCCCCTGCTCTAACCACTAGACCCCACTCCCCTCTCCGAGCCGGGGCTGCGAACCCAGGAGTCCTGCTTTCCAGGGCCCCCTGCTCTAACCACTGGACCCCACTCCCCTCCCAAAGCCGGGGCTGAGAACCCAGGAGTCCTGCTTTCCAGGGCCCCCTGCTCTAACCACTGGACCCCACTCCCCTCTCCGAGCCGGGACACCACCCAGGTGACTCACGCTCTGCTTGGCTCTGCGTCAGGCAGGGTGAAGATGCGCCGGGTGGGCGTTGGCGGGACCCGGGCCAGGCGCGGCGGCTCCTTGCTCTGGCAGGGAAGCAGAAAAAGGGCCCGTGAATGTCTCGCCTAAAGCAGGGCACTCAGGGCTACCCCGGCCTTCAGCCAGGAGGGGGCGCTGCCCAGAGAACAGCTCGATACCCTCTGGGAGGCAGGGTGTCAGTCCTTGCTGCAGCAAATGGAGTGGAGGGGGAAGGGAAAAGAATGGGGTCTAGTGGGGGGGGGCGGGCTGGGAACCAGGACTCCTGGGTTCCATCCCAGCTGTGGGGGTCTAGCAGTTAAAGCACAGAGAGTCATGAATCAGGAAAATTAAGGAGCAAGAAACAGACCAGGGCGGGGGGCAGAGTTAAGGGGAAAATGCAGGCCTGGAGAACAGACCTCGGGATTGAGGGATCCCTGCCTGATGCTCCAGGATGGGGATCCCAGCCCCCAAGACACCCTATGGTGCCCCCCACCGTCCCCAGGGGAGAAGGGCAGCTCCAACTAAGCACCTAACAGCGGAAGGCGTCCCAGAATGCACCAGGACACCGCTGACATGGGCAAATAAGCAGGTGGGCGGGAGAGGAATAAGGCCACTCCCCCTATGGGCGGAGCCTCCTACCAGGTCACCCGATGAACTCCCTTCCTCCCGACTGGCTAGCTCTGAGGCTACGCTCTTATTGGCTAACCCCGGGCCAATCAAAGTCCTGTTCCACTTCTGTAGGATTTCCCAGATGTCCTGTGGCTGAGGCAGGAGGGAAAGCAGGAGACAGTTAGTGGGAGAGATGGACAGACAGACAGGCACGAGAAGTCTCAAAGACCCACTTTGCATTGTGGGAAAACACCTGCCCTCCCAGAATCCTCTCTGCTGTGGCATTTACCGCAGCGAGAAAGGGAGGGGTCTGTGTTTCAGTGCCCCCTTGGCTAGAGTGTCGGGGTCGGGTGCCCCGCATGGCTACAGGGTTCCCCCCTACCCCTCACCTTCTCCTCTGTGTCCAGCCTGGGGCTGGACGCCGAGCGCTTGATCCTGCCCTCCTTGGGGGGCCCTTCGTCCAGCCGGGCATCCTGCAGCACCCCGAAGCTGCCCGTCTTCCGCAGCCCCGCCCTCCAGGCAGGCGCCGACGAATCCTCTGTTGTGGTGGGGCGGCCTCCAGAGAACTGGGGATGGGTGGGAACGGGGGACGAGAAAAATGGGGAGGGGAATTGGGGGGGGGAGAAGGGGGTGGAGTCAGGATGGGTGGAGGGAGCTGAACCTGGGGTCAGGGGGTCGCGGAAGGGGATCGAAAGGCAGCGGACGTGCTACGCCGGTGGGCGCGGTCTGCTTCATGACACCCCCCAATCCCACACAACCCCCATGCACCCCCTATCCTCTCTACCCCCCACTGACAGACACCCCATTCTCCCCCCACCCACTGATCCCCCCACTTGACCCCTCCTCACCCCACTCCCCCCCAAATCCCCATTGAAACCGACATGCACCACCCCACACTCCCCCTCACATTCGCCACCTCCATCCCACGAAGCTGGGGTGGGCTGGGGGGTGTCATTAATTAACCCTCCCCCCCGACTCTCAATTTCCCCCCACAACGCACTGGCCTTCGATCGCCTTGCGTGCAAGGCTACAGGTAAGAAGCAGGGTGGGGGCGCTCGGGGGCGGGTGGAGATACCTTCCCCCCCCTCTGTCCCCTCATCACATAGGGGGAGGAAGGCAGGTATCCCTCCCCAATCTGCCCCCCGCCCCCGCCATTATATGGGGACAGAACTTAAAAGAGGGATCTCTAGTCAATTTCAGAACGCAAGGGGATTGGGCTAGAAATTAACCGGAGTGGGAAAGGGGGGGCAGCATCCCCCCAGAAGGATGCACACCCGGGGGTGGGGGGAAGATGCCCACCTGCCTCATGGGTTTCCCCTTGCTGCGTGCCCCATTCCCCATCCCCAAGCCAACCAGGCCCTCGGCCCTGGGGACAGATTGAAGCCGGCGCCCCCTAGTGGGTAAAAAGTGATCCACTATCGCGTCTCCAGAGCTATTCCCTTTCCAGCCAAGGGAACGTCCGTCCTCTCAGCAAGTTTCCCCCCGGAAGGGGCCCTGCCCACCTAGTGTATCTCAGACACCGCTGCCTGTGTAAGGTGGTTTCGAATGGCTGGCGGGACCCCTGCTATGACACCCGCAAACCCTCCCCGTACGCAGGGCCATGGGAACAGGATCGGAGCCCGAATCAGAAAAGCAAACTCAATATCCCGCCGCACGGTGGGAACCGTCTGGGTCCGATCAAGGGTCTCAAACAAGCGTTAAACCCAGAGGGAGGCTCCCACAGAAGGGGTGACGCGATCGCACGCCGTCGGGGACGAGAGACCAGGCTAGATGCGGGGTTGGGGGAGGAAGGGGTATTTGAACCCCGGTCTCTCACAAAGCAAGGACAGCAGAACGCCAAGCCAGGTATCCCTGCAGAACTAGGACTTCTGGCTTTTAGACGGTGCACTGCGGGCCCCCCTGGCTCAAACAGATACCAAGATACTGGCTGAAAACCAAGCGGCAACTGGCCGGGCAGAGCCAGCAGTAATCGGAATGACGGGATTTTGATGTCAGACACGTCATTAGAAGCCAGGGCACATGGGCCCCGAGCCAGGGAGCCTCTCTGCCCCATGGCACCTAGCAACCAGGCAAACCAAAGGTACTGCGGGGCATGGGGGGCTTTCCCAGGCCATCAAAGTTCTGGAGCGTCGCTGAGATCAAACGGGAGCAGGTCAGAGTTAAAAACAACACAGTGGAGGGTATGGTGCGCTGGAGCGGGGCGTGGAGACGGAGAGGGAGAAAAGGATCCGAGAGGCAGGTCTGGCCTCCACGCAGCTCCAGTGACTCATCTTCTCTCCTCCCCCAGAGCTGGGAATGGAACCCAGTAGTCCTGACTCCCCCATCCCCCTCCACTCTAACCAATAGACTCCGCGCTCCTCCCTCAGCGGGGGAGAGAATCCAGGAGTCCTGGCTCCCAGCCCCCCCCCCCCCCCGGTCTAACCACTAGCCCCCACTCCCCCTAGAGCTAGGGAGAGAACCAAGGAGAACTGGTGCCCAGTCCACCCAGCTCTGACTCACTAGATCCCACTCCAACCAGTCAATCCCTGCTTCTCTAGAAGACACCAGAATGGAGGAGGCTGCTGGGAGATGCCTAGAACCAGAGACACCCCCCGCCCCCCCCCACCTCTGCCAAGGCCCCTTGATCCCCCACCCTCTGTGTCCCCCAGCCTGGGGCCCTGTGATCCTATGAACATCAAGTAGAGTCAGCCAGCTGAGCCTGGCCAACTCGTGACACCGCTGGAGGGCCAGAGCCCCCCCGGCCCCCTCCGCGCTGCAGGTCTCGGGAAAGGGAGAAGAGGCTCTCGTGCTGGGGGGAGGGCGGGGGGGAGTGTCGGGTCACTCACTGTGGCTTTTTCGCCCCCCTGCGGGACCAGGACGATGCCCGTTTTGCGTAGGCTTTGACGCCAAAGTGCCGGCCCCAGGGTGTCCAGGGCGGGCAGGGTGGGAGGGGGGCAGGCCAGCGGGGACTGATGGCGTATAAAGGAGAAGGTGAGGGGGCCATGGAGTGGGCAGGATCCAAGCAGTAGAAAGACAAATATGGGGTGCGGGCAGGGGAGAAATACAGGGCAGAGATAGGAGAGAGTCTAGATGTGGCCAGATTGGAGGGGTGGGACCAGAACAGTGAGGGGGTGGGGCTGGGGCCCCTAGATCGTGGTGACAAGGGGCTGGAGGGAAAGATCCTGCCCCATTGCCGGCTGGTCAGTTTCAGTGCCCCCCTCAATGGTAAGAGGTGAGGAAGGAGGGTGGATTGTAGGGTTTGGGCCCCACCCCCTTGGGTGTAATTAGCGAATCACAGAACGAGCAGGACAGGAGTAGAGAATCAGCATACAAGGGCAGGGGAACGTCAGTGTCAAGGGGGCATGCTAGGACCAAGATCCAGTTCACATGGGGCAGGGTCTATCCACATGGGGGGGCATTAGACTGGGGAGAGAACCCAGGCATCCTGGCTCCCAGCCCTCCCTGCTCTAACTACTAGACCCCACTCCCCATACAGAGCAGGGGGATAGAACCCAGGAGTCCTGGCTCCCAGCCCCCGGCCCCCCATTCAAAACCCACTAGACCAGAGTATTATGACTAAGCTGAGAACTTGGCTGTACTGGGCGGGGGGAGGGACCTTTCCATGGAGGGGAAGCTGCCCCCCCCCCCAAGGGCCCTCTAGCCACACCCCCACAAGGGAACTCAGCCACCAGAGGGAGTCAGCACCCCTCAGGCCCCTCGCAATCCAGCCCCGGGGGGGGGTGAGGGGGGGTGTGTGATGGAGGCGACTCACCTTAGGCCCTGCAGGCACGGCCGAAACGGGGGGAAGGGTGACCCCGTTCAAGCCGCTGCTCTCCTGTGGGAGGGGCTTCGTGGTCTCTGTGGGGAGAACGGAGGAGCTGGGGTGACACGGGGACCTGGCATCGCCCCCCCCCCCCCATTCAGCCCCATGCAGCCTGGCACCTCTCCCCACAATGTACCCCATGGGCCCAGCATCCCCCTCCCGGCTCAGCCCCAGGCCCCGCCCCAGCTCACTAGCCCCGCCTACCGGTGGGTTTCTCCGGCTCCTCCCCCTCGGAGGCGGAGCTGTTCTCCTCGTCCGGGACGATGGGGCCCAGAGTCTTGCGCTCCTTGGACTGGTCCTGCACCGAGATCTTCTCCCGGCTGCTCATGCGGCACACGGAGCTCCTGGGGGGGGAACGGGGGCGGGAGGGGGGTCAGCAGGGGCGGGGCCCGTTAGGCACCCTGCCAGCAACTGAGCAAGGGGCCGTACCCCATCCACCTGACTGGGCGGCAGCAGGGAGCTCAAAGTGAGCCCCCAGACTCCTGTGGTGCCGGTGACCCCACTCCCGACCCACAGCCCCCTGCCAGCCCAGCCCCCCTCAGCCCCGCCGGTGCCCCTCACTCCCGACCCGCAGCCCCCTGCCAGCCCAGCCCTGCCCCCCTCAGCCCTGCCGGTGCCCCTCACTCCTGACCCGCAGCCTCCTGCACTCACCGCCTGTGCTTGGCGCTGTACACTGGCTGCTGCTCAGCGCTGGTATCGATCACCGCCTGCTTCAGGTGAGCTTCCTTCTTGCTGCGCAGCTGGGGAGGGAAGGGAGGGAGGGTCGCTGTATTCCTGGGACCCCCCGCCCCCCGAAATCCCCACCAGGCGGGGAGGATGCTGGGAGATCCAGTGGGGTTAGGGCCAGGTGTCACTGGACAGCTGGGGGAGAGCAGCAGTGGGGCGGCGACAGCCCCTCATTATGGCTGCCCCCTTACCTGGCTGAGTGGGGGTCTTGACCCCCTCTCAGGCCCCTGGAGCAGTATCCCTGCCCGGGGTTAACCCTTTCCTGCCTTGCTGCCGAGTGGACAGGCAGGGCCAACCAGTGCTGCCCCGATCTGAGGGGGGAGGGGCGCAGGAGTAGTGGGGGGGAGAACAGGGCTAGGGGTGGGGGAAACCCCTCACTCACATCCTCCTGCTTCTTCTGCAGCTCCTCCAGCAGGCCGAGTGTGTCCTCGTCGGCCAGGTCACATGGGCGCTGGCCCTGGCGGGGAGCAAGGGGGCAGTGGTTGAGAGGGGCCCCAGGCCTCCAACTGTCGTCCCCCTGCCCCCAAACTTCCCTTACCCTCCTGGCCTCCACCCTGCCCCTAGCCTCCACCCCAGCAGCAGCTGCTCACTTCCAGGCCTTCCCCACCCCCCCACTTCCCTTCTCATCACCCCTGAGGCGCCAGGGCTGCTGTGATCCAGTAGATCCTGTCCCTTCCCTGCTGCCCCACCCCCTCACCACATTGTTGAGGGTGTCCATGTCGCACAGATGCTCCACCAGCAGGCGACAGGCTTCTTCCACCCCCCAGTGGGCCGCCGCGTGCAGGGGGTCCAGCCGTCCTTGTCCCGCACGTTGGGGTCATAGCCAGCCTGCAGGAGCAGCCTACGCAGTGGGGGAGAGAGAAATCAGGACGCCTGGGTTCTCTCCCTGGCACGGGGAGGGGAGCAGAGTCCAGTGGTTACAGCAGGGGGGCTGGGAGCCAGGACTCCTCCTTTCTAACCCCACCAATCTTGGGCAAGCCACTTCCCCTCCGTGCCTCGGTTTCCCCAGCTGTAAACATGGCCCACACCTGTCACGAAGGACCAGAGCATGGGGTAAGGGGGCTGGGATATGAATGGCTGCTCCCAACCCACAGCTGCGTCCCCAGGATACCTCACACACTGCTTGGGGGAGGGGGGCTGGGTGGCTATTAACTGGCCTTGGGAGTCAAGTTGGGGGCGGATCCAAACATGCTGACTCCGCTCCCCCAGAGGGACTGGGAGCCCCTCTGACCTGCCAAGCTGGTCGGACTGGGAGGGGCAGCACACACCCTCGGGGGCTGGGCGGGAGGGACTCGGCAGCCAACGCAGCTCCCACGAGCTTCGGGTGGGGGGGGGCAGCTCCCCCAGTCCAGCCCAGTGGGGGCGGGAGCTGGCAGGAACTGGGGGCGGGAGCTGCAAGGAGAGCAGGGAGCACAACGAACTCCACCAGCCCGTTCATCAGTGACGCCCAAGGGCGAGAAGGAAACTTGCAGCATGCACCCACAGCACTGCCTGAAACGAACCAGAGGGGAATGGCTGGGACAAGGGGCCTTTCCCCTCTAGGGGGCGCCGGCTCCCACCTGGCCCCAAGGCGGGGACTCGCTGGCTCAGGGGGGCGGGGAATGGGGCACGGGACCTTTCCCTTCTCGGGGGCGTTGGCTCCCATCCAGCCCCAGGACAGGGATTTGCTGACTCGGGGGGCGGGGAATGGGGCCTGGGGCCTTTCCCCTCTAGTGGGCGCCGGCTCCCACCCGGCCCCAGGGCGGAGACAGGCTGGCTCAGGGGGGTGGGGAATGGGGCACGGGACCTGGCCCCACTAGGGGGTGCTGGCTCCCATCCGGCCCCAGGGCAGGGACTTGCTGAGGGGGCAGCGAAGGGGGCCTGGGGCCTTTCCCCTCTAGGGGGCGCCAGCTCCCATCCGGCCCCTCTCACCTCATGACCTCGATGTAGCCCTTGGCGGCAGCCACGTGCAGGGCGCTGGCTCCGGTCTTGGGGTGCCGCGTGTCGTCGATGCGGCCGGCGTTCAGCCACTGACGCGTGTCCTGCAGCATCAGCTCCTCCTCCTCCCGCTTGGCGGCCGCCACGTCCACCCCTGCGGGGACAGGCCGGGCATGAGGGTGGGGCCTGGCGCCCCGGGGCCCCGCCCCCCTCCTGCGGCCCCGCCCCTCCCCACACCTCGCTTGGCGATCTCCTCCCGCAGCAGGGCCTCCATGCCGTCGTCCTCGGCGATATCCAGGGGAATCTCCCCGTCGCTGTTCACCGCCGCCACCTGAGCGCCGTGGGCCAGCAGGTACCTGGGGACAGGCGAGAGCATCGGACCGGTGGAGCCCCCTTAGGGCCACGGGGCAGCCCCACCCCTCCCCTGACCCGACCCCTTTGCGGTAACAAGGCTGCAGGTGGACCCGGCACTGAGCCCCTGGCCTTGAGTGGGCTGCAGGTCGCCAGCTTCCGCCCCCCGAGAGCTTCCCTAGTTGGAGCGGGGGCCCATCAGAAGGCGCCTGTCCCACCTGTGGGAAAGAGCAAGAAATTGATGGGGGGGGGGCATGAGGATGGGCACAGGGGAGCAATGAGCGGGGCAGCAGGGAGGGGGTGCTCACAGCAGTGGGGGTAGGTTGTTCAGGGTGGGGTGGGGATGGGAGCTGGGGGGAGATCAGAGCAGGTGGGGAGTTTGGAACTGGGCGGGGGGAGTTTGGAGCAGAAGGGGGGAGCTTAGGTCTCTACGACCCACAGGGGGCGGGGGAGAGATTATGTGGCACGTGACCAGGGATTAGCACCATGTGACAGGGATTACGGGGCGTAGGGGGGATTGGGGTCAATGTGTGGCCGGGATCCCAGCGACTGACCTATGGGACTAGCAGCGTGGGCAGGCAGGAGAGGAGAGACCCATCGGCCCACAGGGCGCGTCTGTTCCTTATGCCCAGAGTCCCCCCACCCTGCTGCAGCCCGTCCCACCCCCCGCCGGGGGGGCACCCATATGGGACTCACCCTGCACTTGCCCAGCCAGTGTGGGGTCCCTCCTGCACCCCACCATCAGACACATGCACCCACGGAGCCCGGTTCTCCCCCCGACCCCGCACAGATCCAACCTCTGAGCACGTCCAGCCCAGTGTGAATTCAGGGGGTTGTGACTGGGGGCCTGTGGGTCTGACGGGGGAGCAGGCAGGACACCAAGGTAGATGGGCCCATGGGGCTGATCCGGGGAGAGGGTGGAGCCAGGATAGCGGGGTAGATGGGCCCGTGGGGCTGATCCAGGGGCAGGGTGGGGGCGGGATACCAGGGTAGATGGGCCTGTGGCTCTGATCCAGGGGCAGGGAGGGATACCGGGGTAGATAGGCCCATGAGGCTGATCTGGGGGCAGGGAGGAGGCAGGATACTGGGGTAGATGGGCCCATGGGGCTGACTGCACCTGGCCATGCCCCACACACTCTGCCCACTCACTGGGCGATCTCCTTGTAGCCGCAGGAGGCAGCAACATGCAGGGGCGTCCAGCCCTCATTGTCCGCCTGGTTCACGTTGGCTCCGTTCTCCACCAGGAACTGCACCACCTCCAGGTTCTCATCGATGCAGGCCTGGGGGAGGGGGCGGGGGGAGGCAGGGGTCAGAGACTGAGCAGATCCAGCCCCCCTGCTCTACCCACTAGACCCCACTCCCCACACAGAGCAGTAGATAGAACCCAGGAGTCCTGGCACGCAGCCCTTGCCATTTCACGTTCCCTCACGCATCCATCTGTTTGGCCCTAGGCCAAAGCAGCCCTGGGACTGGACTGAGACAGGACAGGTTAACCGGGCCCTGCAGTCCCTGGGACGTGGAGGGAGGGACGGGACGTGGGATCTGGAATCAGCCCTGGCTCCCAAAGCGTGGCCAGAAATAGCCGGGGGGGGGGGGGTTCGCCTGGCAGAGGCGCTGCCCTCACCAGCCCTGAGCGCCGGGCGCTTGAGCGAGGCTGCGGGGCGGGAGCGAGGGACACCTGCAATGCTGGAGGGGGCCGGGGGAGCTCAGGTCCAGAACAAGAGGAGTGGGGCCCCCCTGCCGGTGCCCCTCACTCCTGACCTGCAGCTCCCTGCTACCCAGCCCTGGGCTCCCCCAAAGCCCCGCTGGTGCCCCTCAATCCCAACCCATGGCCTCCTGCTGTCCCAGCCCTGGGCTCCCCCCGACAGCTCCGCCGGTGCCCTCACTCCCGCCCCAGGGCCGTGAAGACAGAGAACTCCCAACTTCATCGCCGGTGGGCTCTGTGCAGTGCCTGGGGACCACCCACCAGCTTGGCACGCAGCCAAGGAGCGGGGGAATTCAGGGGGACCCGGGTGAAGCCAGGCAGCAGATGCGGGGGAGAGGGGGACTCCCAGCGGAGGGACCAAGCAGCAAGAACCCTCAGTTCTATGGGGCTGAAATCGCAGGTGGTGCTTTGGCCGGGCACCAGCAGCTTTCACCGTCCTGTGAGGCTGGGGAAGGGGCACAGACCGCCCAGCGCAGGGGGATTCCCCCAAAACCCCTTCGCCAGGGAGCTGAACCCTGAGCAGCCTCCGGGGATCTGGAGCCAATTTCAATTCACCTGCAGCCCTTTCATTAGCAAACCGAGTCCCGGAAGAAGTTGCCTCAATGGAAGATTGGGGTGGGGGGCGGGGAAGCATGTGGACCCCTCAGCTCCATGGGTCCCACCCAGAATGCCCTGGGGTGGAAGGATATGGGGCACCCCAGATTCATGACTGTAGGAGATGGGTACCCCACTCCGATGGGAAGATGGTAACAGGTTGCTGGGGCAAATGGGACCCAACGCTGCCCCAGGCATGGGCACCGGGAGACCCCAAAATTCACTCTCACATGGGCACGTGCCCCAGAATTCACACTCATTGGGGTGTGTAACCTCATGGGGGGGCAGGCTGGGCTGCACTGTTGAATTCACACCTCTGCCTCTCCCACCTAACAGCCCCCTCCTGTGCTCCCCCGCAGCTCTGGCCCCCTGCCCCCACTCACTGACACTCCCCCTCCCCCCCAGTTCTCTTCCCTGGCTTCACCCCTATTGCAGGGTTCGGGGTGGGACTCGGCAAAGCGCTGTGCAGGGAGATCTGCAATGGGGGTTGAGCTGAGGGGGGCTCCCCCTGAGTGGGGACAGGCCCCGCACCCCATTCAGTCCCCCGGGCCAGCCACCCCCTGAGGCAGAAGCTGTCAGCCGCCAGCCCTGCTGGGAGGAGCTGGGGGCGGAGGGAGGCCGGGGTCCAGGGAAGGAAGCCAAGGCCGTCAGGGGAATGAAGTCATGGAAAGTCGGGGCGGGGGACGGACAGAGGGGGAGCTGGGAGCTTCCCTGATGAGAAACCCAGAAAAGGACTGGAACCGACTGGAGCCTAAAATAACCTCCCAGACAGGCCCTGGCATAGGGATGGGCTGGATCCTGGGGGACTGAGGGGGGCAGAGCTAGGGCACAGGTGAATGGAGACAGCCCCACCCCCTGTACACTTCTACAGGCCCTGCCAATGGGTCACTCCTCTACAGCCTCCCCAGGATCACAGCTGTGCGGGGCAGCCAACGGCTGGGCTAGCAGGGGGCTGCGGGTGCAGGGGTGAGGAGCAGGGCGGGGGGTGGGAGCCCAGGGCTGGGGGCACCGGCAGGGCTGTTCAGCTGGAGCTCACCGTGGCTGGTGGTGGCGCGTGGTGCTCTGACGGGGCGGCCAGCAAACCCCGGAGCTGCTGGCCCGTACCAAGCTCTGTTGCCCGGGCGCAGGTTGTGGGCCACAACAGGGCACCAGGCTGAGGCCTCCCCAACTCATTGCACAAGTGAGATAAGAACAACCCAGGGCCGGATGGGGGCTCTGTCGCTGCGCATCTCCCCACAGGCCAGAATCGGGGCCTCCCTTTGTGCTAGGTTCTGCACAGACCCCTCCGCCTCGGCCAGGATTGGGGGTGTCCCCACACGCAGGGCACTGCACAGACCCCACTGGGGCTGGGAGCTCGCTGTCGGGCTGGCCACTGCCCTGAAAAGCCTGTAGGTTGGGATGGGGGGGAGCCCAGGGCCGGGCTAGCAGGGGGCTGCGGGTCGGGAGCGAGGGGCTCGGGCAGGGCTGGGGGGAGCCCAGGGCCGGGCTAGCAGGGGGCTGCGGGTCGGGAGTGAGGGGCACGGGCCGGGCTGGGGGGAGCCCAGGGCCGGGCTAGCAGGGGGCTGCGGGTCGGGAGCGAGGGGCTCGGGCAGGGCTCCTCACTCCAGTCCACCCCTCCCCCAGGAGCCCCACAGAGGATGGTGGATCGGAGACTGGTGGGTCACTTCCCCTGCATTCAAAGTAAGGGGGCTGGGTGCCAGGACTCCTGGGTTCTCTCCCGGCTCTGGGAAGACAGCCAAGTCTAATTCCAGAGAGTCCCTGCACTGCAAAGTGCTACTGGGGGCTGAGGCTGTTTTCCGCACTGGGCCCCCTCCCCCCGCCTGGAATAGAACCCAGGCGTCCTGCTCCTTTTCCTGCCCCCACCCCCTGCCGGGCCCCAAGGAGCAGGTGCCGCCCTGCGGCCGACAGCTGGAGACAGCCCCTGCCCCCAACACCTCTCTGGGGACAGAGCGACCCCCAGCTCCCCTCACTGCTCTGCCGCTGTCCCCAGCCACCCCCTGCAGCCTCCCCCCACAGCCCCCCTCCTGTGCTGATCCACCCCCGCAACTGCCCCCTCGCCCTGACTACCCCCTGCACCTGCCCAGGGACTGCCCCCCCCCCCAGCTTCCCTCAGCACTGCCCCCGCCTCCACCCTGCAGATCCCCCCCCCCCCCGTGGGCCTGTACCCGCCCCCCATGTCCCCTTCCCCAGCTTTTCTCACAGCCCCACTAACCTGCCCCCAGCTCCCCTCCCCCCTCAGACCTGCGCCCCCCACCCCCTGACCTGCCCCCAGCTCCCCTCCCCCCTCAGACCTGCCCCCCACCCCACTAACCTGCCCCCGCTCCCCTCCCCCCTCAGACCTGCCCCCCACCCCACTAACCTGCCCCCAGCTCCCCTCCCCCCTCAGACCTGCGCCCCCACCCCACTAACCTGCCCCCAGCTCCCCTTCCCCCTCAGACCTGCCCCCCACCCCACTGACCTGCCCCCAGCTCCCCTTCCCCCTCAGACCTGCGCCCCCACCCCACTGACCTGCCCCCAGCTCCCCTTCCCCCCTCAGACCTGCGCCCCCCACCCCACTGACCTGCCCCCCAGCTCCCCTCCCCTCTCAGACCTGCGCCCCCACCCCACTGACCTGCCCCCAGCTCCCCTTCCCCCTCAGACCTGCCCCCCACCCCACTGACCTGCCCCCCAGCTCCCCTTCCCCCTCAGACCTGCGCCCCCACCCCACTGACCTGCCCCCAGCTCCCCTCCCCCCTCAGACCTGCGCCCCCCACCCCACTGACCTGCCCCCAGCTCCCCTCCCCCCCTCAGACCTGCCCCCCCACCCCACTGACCTGCCCCCAGCTCCCCTTCCCCCTCAGACCTGCCCCCCACCCCACTGACCTGCCCCCAGCTCCCCTTCCCCCTCAGACCTGCCCCCCACCCCACTGACCTGCCCCCAGCTCCCCTTCCCCCTCAGACCTGCCCCCCACCCCACTGACCTGCCCCCAGCTCCCCTTCCCCCTCAGACCTGCGCCCCCACCCCACTGACCTGCCCCCAGCTCCCCTTCCCCCTCAGACCTGCGCCCCCACCCCACTGACCTGCCCCCAGCTCCCCTCCCCCCTCAGACCTGCCCCCCACCCCACTGACCTGCCCCCTGACCCGCCCCGCCCCCACCTGGTGCAGGGCGCTGATCCCGTCCGCGTTGGTGCCGTTGACCAGGCCGGGCACGGGCCGCTCCCCGCCGGGCCCCCCCCGCAGCATGGCCCGGGCCTCGCCCAGCTCCCCCCCCGCGCAGGCGGCCAGGAACTCGGCGGCGCGCTCGAAGCGCACGGCCCGGGCGCGGGGCGGCCGCGGGGGGCAGGGCGGGGCCGGCGCCGCCTCCCACTGCCGGAGCTGCTCGCGCCGCCGCTCGCGGGCCGCCGCCGCCGCGCCCCCGTCCGCCGCCATCTTCCCGGCGCGGCCCCGCCGGCTTCCGTACCCCGCCCCCTCCCGCCTTCCGCTCGGGCCGGGACCCGCCCCCTCCTGCCGGCTTCCGTACCCCGCCCCCTCCCGCCTTCCGCTCGGGCCGGGACCCGCCCCCTCCTGCCGGCTTCCGTACCCCGCCCCCTCCCGCCTTCCGCTCGGCCCGGGACCCGCCCCCTCCTGCCGGCTTCCGTACCCCGCCCCCTCCCGCCTTCCGCTCGGGTCGGGTCCCGCCCCCCGCTCGGGTCGGGTCCCGCCCCTTCCTGCCGGCTTCCGTACCCCGCCCCCTCCCGCCTTCCGCTCGGCCCGGGACCCGCCCCTTCCTGCCGGCTTCCGTACCCCGCCCCCTCCCGCCTTCCGCTCGGCCCGGGACCCGCCCCCTCGCAGCCTCCCGTCCAGTCCTGGCCCCGCCCCCTCCTGCCGGCTTCCGTCCAGTCCTGGCCCCGCCCCCTCGCCGGTTTCCGTAGGGGCTCATGGGAAATGGAGTCTGGGGAATCTCCCCCCCCCCGCAGCGGTCCCCCCGGGGGGGCCTGGCCCCGCCCCTGTTCTCGGACCCCTCCCCTCGGGGCGCCCTTTGTGGGCGGGGCGTGGGAGAGTCCCGCCCCCACTCACAGCCTCGGGGTGTCTGCGCACGTGGGTTGCCGCGGGGGGGTCATTCTCCAGCCGCCCTTCGCCCCCCCCACAAAGCACTCGGAGGCGGCGCCTGTGCGGGCGGGAGGCCGGTTTATTGCCCGGGCGGCGGGAGGCACCAGGCCCACGCGGGGGGGCACAGGGGGAGGCCCCCCCGGCTGATGGGCTGCGGGGGACGCGCGGGGGGGGGGGAGGTCTCCACGTGGGGGGCTGGGGGGGCCGAGGCTGCTCCGTCTCCGGGCTCATTTCCAGCGGCCGCCCAGGCGGCCCTTGGGGGCCCCCTTCTTGCTGCGAAGAGAACAGGGGAGGGGGCGGGTGAGAAAAGGCGTCAGCAGCGCCCCAGATCCCCGCCCCCCTCCCCCCCCGGGGCCCCTCCCCCGGGGTCCAGCCCGGCCTCAACCCCCCCCCCCCCCCCCCGGCCAGCTGGCCTCGGCATCCGCCCCGCGCTGCCCCCCTCCCCCGCCCGCCCGCCCGCCCGGGGAGCTGGGAGAGGGGAGAAGCATTTGCGGGGCTTGGTCTCGGGACCGGGACCCCCCCACCCACTTCCCCGAGAGGGACACGGCGGAGGCTACTCACAATTTCTGGGCATGGCTGATGCTGTTGTAAAGGATGTTAATCTGCAAACGGGGGGGGGGGGGAACCAGTTATTACCCAGCTGTTCTGTTCCCCCCCCCGCCGGGGGCAGCCAATGCCCCACCCCGGGGCTGGACGGAGCCGGCGCCCCCTAGCGGGGAAAGGCCCCCCTGGCCCCCTTCTCTCACCTCGTATTTCTGGCGCTTGAGTTTCTCCATGAGGTCAAACTTCTCCGACTCCAGCTGGTGGATCCACTCGTGCAGCTCCTTGGCCTTCTCCCTGTGGGGCCAGGAGGAGGCACTGTCGGGATCGGGGCGGCTGCCAGTCAGCCCCCCGCCCCGCACGGGCCCCTTGTACCCAGAGCACCCCGGGAAACGGGAGGCATGTGCCGCCCCAGGTAGCCGTGCTTGCTAGCCGCAGGGGCTCATGGGAACGACACGCAGAGCATCATGGGAAAGGGGGGCATTGACGGGCCACGGTAGCCATGGTCGCTAGCCCCAGGAGATCATGGGAACAAAGTGCAGAGCATCATGAGAAATGGGACCTTAGATGGCCAAGAGGTAGCCATGGTCACTAACCCCAGGGGATCATGGGAAATGGGAACCAAGAGAAGAGAATCAAGGGAAACGGACACAGATGACCAAAGTAGCAATCGATCAGGTTGTTAACCTCAAGGGATTATGGGTAATGAGAACCAAGTGCAGAGCCTCATGGGAAATGGGACCATAGGCGGCCAAGGTAGCAATGGTTGCTAACCCCAGGGGATCATGGGAACAAAGCTCAGAGCGTCATGGGAAATGGGACCATAGATGGCCAAGGGGGAGCCATGGTTGCTAACCCCAAGGGATCATGGGAAATGGGAACCCAGCACAGAGCATCCTGGGAAATGAAGTCCCCTGAGCGCCCACCCCTACTGCGCCCACTGTACCTCAGCTCATCCTCCCGCATGCTGTCGATGTTTAGGGGCTTCCGTCGCTCGGCCAAGATTCGGTTCTTCATCTCCCGTCCCGTCTGCCGCTTGCCCCGCTTCTGCTCGGCCTGGCAAACAGGGCATGGGGGTCACGTCAACACGGGCTCCCTCCAGAGGCGGTTCCTCTGGGGTGGGGATCAGGGGGCTGGTTATAGAGACCCTTCCCCCGTGCTGAGATGTGGCCGTCTCTGGGGTGGAACGCCAGGGTTGGTTATACGGGGACCCCTCACCCGGCGCCGAGATGCAGCTGCCTCTGGGGTGGAGCAGCTGGTGATTTTCAGACTGCTCCCCAGACTCCTCCCCCCTGCACACCCTCCCTGGCCCCCCCCCTCACCTTGACCAGATAGCCGCCGAAATGAGGCATGTTGGACAGAACCTTCTTCTTCTTGGCGTCGTCTTCGGCCCGTTTCTTGGCCTCCTCCTCCTCCTTGCGCAGCTTCTCTTCCTGCATGTTGTGGGGGGGGGGGAGCAGAGCTGTCAGCCACGCAGCTGGGGGGGGCACAGACTGGAGGGGACAACCCCGCTCCAGCCCAGGAGTGGGGAGGGGATGTGGGGGGACTCACCGCTAGCTTGGCCTGGCGTTCCCGCTCCTTCTCGGTCCGGACCCGCACCTGCTCGTTCCGTTCCGCTCGGCGGCGCTCCTGCCAGGGGCCCGGTGATGGGTCAGGGCATGGCCTGCCACCCGCAGCGCCCTCCGGCCGGCTCCACCTCTTCCCCAGAACCCACAGTCCACCTGGCATGCCCCCGGTACCCACAATCCACCTGGTATTCCCCCTGGTACCCACAATCCCCTGCCCTGCCCCCTGTACCTACAATCCGCCTGGCACACCCCCCTGGTACCCACAATCCGCCTGGTATTCCCCCCGGTACCCACAATTCCCTGCCCTGCCCCCCATACCCACAATTCCCTGCCCTGCCCCCTGTACCTACAATCCGCCTGGCACACCCCCCTGGTACCCACAATCCCCTACCCTGCCCCCCGGTACCCACAGTCCGCCTGGTATTCCCCCCTGGTACCCACAATCCCCTGCCCTGACCCCTGTACCTACAATCCGCCTGGCACACCCCCTGGTACCCACAATCCGCCTGGTATTCCCCCCGGTACCCACAATCCCCTGCCCTGCCCCCTGCACCCACAATCTGCCTAGCACACCCCCAGTGCCCACAATCCCTTGCCCTGCCCTATGTACCCACAACCACCCTCCCCCGCCCCGCACACCCCAGAACCCACAATTCTCTCCATCAAGCCGATGAGCTCCTCCTCCTCCTTCTTCCTCTGCTCGAAGTGCACGTCGATGAGCGTCTGCAGCTCCAGCAGGTCCTTCTCCATGCGCTTTCGGTGAATGTCCTGGAGGGCAGAGACAGCATGAGCTGGGGGGCACCCCCCGTGGGGGGGAGTTCCCTCTGCTGAGCCCCCGCGCCCAACAGCCCCTGCTCAGCCCATAGTCCCGCACAGCCCAGCGCCCCCTGCTGAGCCCCCCCGGCTCCCTGCAGCCCAGTGCCCCCCGCTGAGCCCCCCGCAGCCCAGCACCCCCCGCTGAGCTGCCCCCCCGCTCCCTGCAGCCCAGTGCCCCCCGCTGAGCCCCCCGCAGCCCAGCACCCCCCACTGAGCCCCCTGCCCTGCTCCCCGTAGCCCAGCGGGATCTCTCTCACGACACTCACATCAAAGTCCACTCTCTCCCCATCGGGAATCTTCGGGGGGGCCAGCTGGGGAACTAACGGCCTGCTGCGGGCGGGAAGGGATAAGAAACAAGACAAAGAGGAAAGGGTTTCACGATTGACTGTTACAAGTTCAGACCTCTCCCCCGGTCCCAGGACTTGGACCCTCTGGGGTGGGGCGGGGGGCTGGGCATACAGGAACCCCCTGCCCAGCACTAAGACGCGGCCCCGCTGGGGTCGAGCGCGGGGGCTGCATATACGGGGACCCCTCGCCCAGCAGTAGGATGCAACCCCTCTGGGGTGGGACGTGGGGGCTGGGCACACAGGGACCCCTCGCCCAGCGGTAGGATGCAGCCCCTCTCAGGTGGGGCGCGTGGGCTGGCTATATAGAGTCGCTCAGTGCATTGGGACAGCACTCCTGTCCAGGTTGTGGGGTTCCCTGCTCTGACTTGTGGGGTGCAGGCTGCACCCCAATTGTGAGTGGAAGTGGGGGATCCCCCATCTTAAACTCCCCCCCGCAATGGGTACCGCAGTTACCTGGGTTTGGGACGCTCCTCTTCTGTGAAGAGAACAAGAGAAACATTGTTATTAGACAGAGAGAGGGAAACAACTTGTGTGGGGGGGAAACTGGGGGGGACTGGGGGGGACACCCCAAAAACCTCTTAGCAAGAAAGCCCCTGATATGCTCCACCTGTATCCAGTTCAGATGTCGGGGTACCTTCATAAGGGGAGGTGAGAATTGATGTGGGGGGGGGAATCCATGGACAGATGGCCCCCCTCGGGCAGGGTTGGAGAGAGTCCTGGCTGTTAAATAAAAAAAAGGAAGGGAAAAAAAGGGAGGAAGAAAAATGTATCCCTGAAGAAGAGAAGAAAATCCGTGAGGAGTGCGGGGGGCTGCAAGGTGGGGTGCAGGGAGCGGCACCGGAGATCCAAGGAGGGGGTGTCATAAGAATAGCCGCGGAGAAGGGTTTGGTGGAGGATGATGCTGAAGAAAGAGCAAAAAAGTCCTTCCAATGGAAGGTTTTTTGGGGGGCAAGTAAAGGGTTAAAGAAGGAGGGTAAGGAGGACGTGTCCTCCGCAAGGGGCCTGCAGTGGGGGGGGGCTCCCCCACCCCAGGGGACACAGACCGTGTCTCTCGTGAGTAGTTTTAGAGGCAAGCAAGCTCTGCAGTTGCCACGTCTCT